AAAACCTAAAATTTTACTTAAAAAGCTAAAGAAACAGCAAATCACACCCAAAATAAGTAGAAGAAAGGCTATAGTAAGGATAGGAGCAAAAAATCAATGAAATAAATCATAAACAAATAATGAAGAAATTACTAAAATCAAAAGCTGATTCCTAGAAAAGATAAATAAAATTGATTAACTTATAGCCAGACTAAGAAAAACAAGAGAGAAGCAGAGATTACTAACATCAAGATTAAAACAGAGACATCACTACAGATCCTACAGACATTTAAAGGATAATTTAACAACTTGGATAAAATGTACTAATTCCCTAAGAGAAACAAATTACCAAAGTTCACTCAAGAGCAATATATAAATATAAAGATCTCTATATGTACTAAAGAAAACATTTGACAAAATTCAAAACTATTTATGATTATGAAAAAAACCTAACTCAGTTAAGTAGGAATAAAGAGAATTTCCTCAACTTGATAAAGGGCATCTATAAAAACCTTGCAGCTAAGGTCATACTTAACGGCACAGAACTGAATACTTCTATCTATAATCATAAATAAGGCAGGAATATCCACTTTTATCTTTTATTTAATATTTTGCTGGAAGTCATAGCCTGGGCAATAAAATAATTAAAATATATAAATGGCATATCAATTAGAAAGACAACATTAAGATTTTATTTCACAGATGATATGATTGTCTATGTAGACAATCCTAATAAATTTACAAAAAAGCTACAGGAACTAACAAGTGAGGAAGGTCACAGAATGCAATGTCAGTATTAAAAAATCAATTGCATTTCTATTATTTGCAAAAAGTTGGACATTTATATTAAGAAACAATACTGTTTACAAGAATGTCTAAAAATAAAATAGGAATAATTTAACAAACTATTACAATGCTTATTTATTAAAAACTACAAAACCTTACTGAGAGAAATTTTAAAATCCCTAAATTAATGAAGGGGGTCATGTTAATGAATCAAAAACAGCAATACTGTAAAAGTCCCCATCCTCCCCAAATTGATTTACACATGCAATGTAATCACATCAACATTTCAGCAAGTTTTTTAAAAATAGAACGAGACAGGTTGATTCTAAAATTTATATGGAAATGACAAGTAGAACAGCCAAAATAATTTTGAAAAGAATAAAGTTGGAAAACTTACACTACATGGTTTTAAGGCTTATTATAAAGCTACAGTAGTAAAGACAGTGTGATATTGGCATAGAGATAGACATGCAGATCAGTGTAACAGAGTCCACACTTACATGGCCAGTTGGTTTTTGCTAACAGTGTCAGTAATTCAATAGGAGAAAGAATAGCCTTATCAATAAATGGTGCTGAAAAAGTTATATATTCACATGGGAAAATAAAAACCCCAATTTTTTAAACATAATATACAAAAGTAACCTAAAATGGATTATAGACAATAATATACATGCTACAACTCTAAAACATCCAGATGAAAATATGGAAGATGGCAGGGAAAGATTTCTTAGAACAAAACAAGTAAACAAAAATCCAGAAACGATAGAAAAAAGATTGTCAAACTGGATTTTATCAAATTAAAAACTTTTGCTCTTTAAAAGACACTGTTAAGAAAATGAAAAGGCAATGCATAGATGAAAAGAAAATGTTTGCATGCATGTATTAGATAAAGGAGTTGTATCTAGAACATGCAACTCAATTATATAAACTATTCAATTTTTTTAAGTGGGTGAATAATTTGGACAGATGCTTCACCAAATAATATGTATGTAGATAGATAGATCTAGATGGCAAATAAGCACTTAAAGACATGCACAACATCAGCAATCATTAGGGAAATGCAAATTAAAACCATAATGAGAAATCATTACACTCTTGCTGGAATGGTTAGCATGAAAAAGGCTGGCAATGCCAAGTGTTGGTGAAGACGTGGAGCAACTGGAACTCTATAGATTGTTGGTGGAAATCTGAAAAGGCCTGGCTATTTTGGGAAACAGTTTGGCGGTTTCTAATATGGCTGAACTACACTTATATGATCCAGCAATCCCACCCCTAAGTAGTTAGCCAAGAGAAATGAAACATACATCCATACAAAGACTTGTATGTTTCTATATTCATGGCACTTTTATTCATAAAACCCCCAAACTGGAAACAACCATGTCTTAGTCCATTTTCTGTCACTACAATTGAATACCTGAGACTAGGTTATTTAAAAAACAAAAGAAATTTATTTCTGACAATGGTGAAACCTGGCAAGTCCAAGAGTGTGGCGCCAGCATCTGGTAAGGGCCTTCTTGCTGTGGCATCATGTGGTACAGGCTATCATGTGATGAGAGGGCAAGAGGGTGGCAGCCAACTCCCGTCTCTTTTCCTTTTCTTATAAAGCTACCAGTCTCATCATGAGGGCTTCACCCTAATGACCTTATCAAATCCTGATTACCTCCCAAAGGCCCCCACCTCCAAATTCCATCAGCATATCAATCTGGGGACACATTCAAATCAGAGCCAGCCCAAATGTTCATCAACTGGTCAATGAAAAAATATTTGGCAAATCCGTATAATGCTGTACTACACATCAATAAAAAGGAATGACCTACACGCAATGACATGGATGAATCTCCAAGCATTGTGATAGGTGAAAAAAGATAGATACAGAAGACTTCGTATTACATGATTCCATTTATATAAAATTCATAAAATTCCAGAAAAGGCAAAACTATAGTGAGAGAAAGCAGATCAGAGGAAGCCCAGATGGGGGGATGAGATAGAGGGAACTGACCACAAAAAGCAGGAGAAAACTTTTGAAGGTGATGGAAATGTTCTGTGGTATGATTATGATAGCAATTACACTACTGCTCATGTTTGTCAAAACGCAGCAAATGTACATTTAAAAGTGGGTGAAATTTATTGTATGCAAATTCTGTCTCAACAAAGTTAGCTATAAAGAAGAAAAATCAAAACCAATATTGCATCTTAGGGAAATGGCAGCAGAGGTGGTCCATGTGTCCCCTGTATTAACAAAGAATGGCCATAACAAAGAACCACAGATTAGGGGGCTTGAGCAACAGAAATTTACGTTCTCAGAGTTCTGGAGGCTAGAAGTCCAAGATCAAGGTGTTGGCAGAGTTGGTTCTGGGTGAGGGGAGTCTTCCCGGCTTGCAGACAGCTGCCATTTCACTGTGTCCTCACATGGCTTTTTATCTGTGGAGACTCAGAGAGACAGTGGGTAGAGGGCAGAGCAAGAGCGCTGGGGCAAGCGCGGCGTCTCCTCTTCCTTTAACGCCGCAGTACAATAGGATCAGAGCTCCACCTTTATGGCCTTATTTAACCTTAATTAATTCTGTAAAGGCCCTATCTCCAAGCACAATTGCATTGAGGGTTAGGGCGTCAACATATAAATCTTGGAGGGACACATGCAGTCCATATGCCCCCCCCCACCCTTAATTCACCAGTCAGGCCCCTACAAAAGTGATCCTGGCTCCAGGGCTTCCTTGGGATCCGCTGAGGTCTTTGCTGTGGCCTCAGCAGAGTTCAGTTTCTCCCTTTGCCAGATGCTGATCCTTTGCTCCTCCCTGCCCCAGACGCTAATCCTCTCTGCACACAGAGCTCTGTCTCAGAATCTGCTTCTCAGAATACCCCACCTACGACACGTGGATTTCTGAAACACTTAGCTAGTAACTAAAAATCAGTGTCCAGGTCCTTCCGGAGGACTCTGTCCTGTTTTTCCACACCAGGACGATTTTCCCCGCAACACAAATATCCCCCTTGAGCAGCTGGGCACTCTCCAGCCAGTGTGAGGAGCCCACCACGCTTTTGTACTTTTTGGAAACAGATTCCAATAAACAAACAACAGAGGAAAACCCACCATGACCTTCCGCTCAGCCACGTTATTGATGGAAGGTAGCTAATGTCTGCAATGGGGCGATTTTTCATCAGGCCATTAACTGTTCATCACTCTGCGAGCTTTACTCTGGTGCGACCTTACTTATATGATTTCCAGTGGAGTTAACCTCTGTGCCCCTAAGAATCCATAGCAATAACAACCCAGGCTCAACTGTACCCAAGAGAGAGGAAGGTGTCAGTCATTTTAGCGTGACTGGGACTCAGTGATCAAGGGACAGCTGGATACAAAGAGGGGGCAGAGATGGGAAAGGGTTAGGACTGGCCAGCAACTACCCAGAGATGCGGCTTGTTAACCCAGTAGGGAAAGAGCATGGGTTGATGGGAGGACCTGGGTTTGAATCCCGCTTCTGCTGCTGGCTAGCTGTGCAACTCTGGGCAAGTCCGCTAACCTCACTCTCTACGGCCCCATCTGTAGAATGGGATCATAACATCTTATGATCAGGACTGTGGGGAGGATTAACATGGAAACCTGCTGATTGATTGGTTGTTTGATGAATTGATTGATTGAAACAGAGTCTTACTCTGTTGCTCAGGCTGAGTGCAGTGGTGCAATCATCATACCTCACTGCAACCTCGAACTCCTGGGCTGAAGGGATCCTCCTGCCTCAGCCTCCCGAGTAGCTGGGACTACATGCTCATGCCACCACGCCTGGCTGGCTAATTTTTGTGTTTTTTTTGTAGAGATGGAGTTTCCACGATGTTGCCCAGGCTGGTCTCAAACTCCTGAGCTCAAGTGATGCCTCCACCTTGGCCTCCCAAAGTGCTGGGATTACAGGCACGAGCCGCTGCACCTGGCTGAAACCTGTATGTAAAAGTAAATACAGTCTTGCCCCTCTGCACTCTCATCTCTCCCTCTGTTCCCCTGAATCCCTTGATGTGCGTGCAGTTTCTTAGGCTAAGCTAACAGTTTTAGGGCTGGCATGGATGGTATTGATCAATGTTCAGGCCCATTCTTCAATTAAGGACACTGAGGTTCAGAGAAGGAAACGTTCATCACGTGGCGATGAGATAGCTGAGCAGACAGAAAACCCCGCTGGGGTGGGTCTCCCTCACTTCACGGTCAATGAGCCTATGACTTATACCCAGCCCCCACCCAGACTCCATGCTTTGAGAAATGTTGATAAATTATTTATTAGCAATTAGTTATGCATTTTTATATCAGAGTTATCCTAAGAAAATGGAGTCTGAGTGTGTTGCTCCCGCCTGTCATCCCCCACCAGCTCCGCTCATGCCCAGGGTAAACTAATTGCAGCCTGGATGGCAAGATCCTTCCCACGGGTGCGCTGTGTCCCCTCCCTCCTCATATCTCACAGGGCCCCGACGTTCGCCAGACAAAATGAAATCCAACCAACGTGCTGGGTTTTCGTCACATTTTCCTGCCTTGGCCGAGGGTGGCTCCTCTTCCAGGAAGCTCTTCTGCCTCTGAAGCTGGATAAACCCCAGGTCACCTTTTCAAACTCCACCTGCTTCCCGGGCATCAGGATCAGGTCCCTTTTCCCAACACCAATTCAGCACACCTTTCTCTCTGGACAGGAAGAAGTGTGGGGTCACGACAGCTGTGGTCCATACTCCTGTGTCCCCTGCCACTCCTCTCCCTGAGCTCCTTGAAGGCATGGATCATGTCAGGGACTCATTGACGCACCGGGGACAGGACTTGGATGATAGGAGGTCCCCAGGACAGGTGGATGTCACCGGCACTTGATTCATCAGGGGATAACTGCACCCAGACAAAGCAGAGAAAATCGACAGCTTGTTCAACTTGTGCGGACATATCAAAGGTAATTTCTGGTTTAAAAAAATACCTTGGCCGGGCACCGTGGCTCACACCTGTAATCCCAGTACTTTGGGAGGCCGAGGCGGGCAGATCACCGGAGGTCAGGAGTTCCAGATGAGCCTGGTCAACTTGGTGAAACCCCATCTCTACTAAAAATACAAAAATTAGCCGGGCGTGGTGGCTAGTGCTTATAATTCCAGCTACTTGGGAAGCTGAGGCAGAAGAATCATTCGAAGCCAGGAGGAGGAGGTTGCAGTAGGCTGAGATCGCACCACTGCACTCCAGCCTGGGCAACAGAGCAAGACTCCATCTCAAAAACAAAAAACAAACAAAAAAGCCCTTAATATTTCATACATGCTGTCATGGAGTAAACTCGAGTTCCTCCTAAAATTTGTATGTTGAAACCCGAACCCTCAGTACCTCCAGAGTGTGGCTGCATTTGAAGGCACGATCGTTAAGGGGTAATTAAGTTAAAATAAGGTCATTAGGGCAGTCCTTAATCCAACATGAAAGATGTCCTTATAAGGAGAGGAGATCTGGGCAAACACACACAGAGGGAAGACAATGTAAAGACGCAGGGAGAAACCAGACGTCTGCGAGCCAAGAGGCCGCAGAAGAAACCACCCCTGCAGATGCCTAGATCTTGGACTTCAGCCTCCAGAGCTGTGAGCAAATTCATTTGTTTTCTGAGCCACTCCGACTGTGGCATGTGATTATGACAGGCCAAGTGCCTGTAATCTCAGCTACTCGGGAGGCTGAGGCAGGAGAATCACTCCAACCTGGGAGGCGGAGGTTGCAGTGGGCTGAGATCGCACCACTGCACTCCAGCCTGGGCGACAGGGCGAGACTCCACCTCAAAAACAAAAACAACCAACCAAACAAAAACCCTTAATATGATATACATGCGGCCGTGGACGAAACTGTGTTCCTCCTAAAATTCGTATGTTGAAACCCGAACCCTCAGTGCCTCCAGAGTGGCTGCATTTGAAGGCAGGCTGATATGCCCACCTCCACCTCTGCACACCGCTGGCTGTCTCAGGTCAGAAACCTGGGTGTAGCACTTGCTCCGGCACCCCTCACTTACACTGGGGCCACAGACACTGCCCAGGAAGCTCAGGGTTAGGCTTCCCTCTGTCTCTATGATGCTACATGAGCGTCCACAGCACCCCCTGATGCACAGGAGCTTTGCTGCACCAGGAACGGGCTAACCAGGAATGGGTTTTGAAAGTTCCTATTATTTTGAATTCTCCAAATGCCGCATGTGCCCTTCTGCAAAGCCTGCAGAGAGTTCCCGTCAGAGCTAACACAAGGGTCCCCTCGCTCCAGAGCCAACCACCCTCTTTTTCCCCTCCCAGCAGGGCCAGGTGAGGGCCAGTTTCCCAGCCCCTCCCCTCGGCTCCTCCACTTGCTGTCCTTAGCCTCATCAGAGCCCACTTGGGCCAGCCTGAATACAGGTGTCTGGCCTGAAGTAGTTGCCTCCCCTCAACTCCACCTGCCCCTCACCTCTGGGCTGGAGGAAACGTAATCAATATCCCTCCTTTCTTCCTATTACGCAAAGTGTGTTAGTATTTCCCACTGCTGATAAAGACACACCCGAGACTGGGCGAATCACGAAAGAAAAAGGTTTAACTGGACTTACAGTTCCGCATGGCTGGGGAGGCCTCACAATCATGGTGGAAGGCAAGGGGAAGCAGGTCACATCTTACGTGGATGGCTGCAGGCAAATAGAGAGCTTGCGTGGGGAAACTCCCATTTTTGAAACCATCAGATCTCACGACACCCATTCACTGTCACGAGAACAGCACGAGAAAGACCTGCCCCCGTAATTCAATCACATCCCACCCGGGTCTCCCATGACATGTGGGAACTGTGGGAGTTACTATTCAAGATGAGATTCAGGTGGTGACACAGCCAAACCATATCACAAAGATTCCCGGTAGACCCCACTCCAGGGTAGCAGAAGTCACATGGGACACCCTGCTTCCCTCTTGGACCCTGGAATTGATACAGCCTGGTGTTGGCTTCTGTATGCAAGGAGCAGGGGATGCAGGCACCCAGGCTGTGGTGCTGAGATCGGCTGCTGGGACAGGCGTCCACCCTGCAATAAGAATCACAGCCATCCTGTGGTAGGCACTTCATATGTACCACCCATTGTCCTTCATAGAAGACTCATAAATGACCCTATCTGTTAGGAACCCTGACTATACCCATTTTACAGATGAGGACATGAAGCACAGGGGAGTTAAGTCATTTGCCCAAAGCCACAATGCTAGTAAACCAGTGAGATGGGAACTCCAGGGAGTGTGCTCAAAGAGTCTTTGGTTGTAGTGGTCCATTCTCATGCTGCTCTAAGGACATACCCGAGACTGCGTAATTTATGAAGGAGAGGTTTAATTGACACAGTTCAGTGTAGCTGGAGAGGCCTCAGGAAACTTACAATCATGGTGGAAGAGGAAGCAAACATGACCTTCTTCACATGGCGGCAGGGAGAAGAAGAAGAGCTGAGTGAAGGGGGAAGCCCCTTATAAAACCCTCAGATCTCATGAGAACTCACTCACTCTCATGAGAACAGGACGGGAGAAACCACCCCCATGAGTCAATTATCTCCACCTGGCTCCTCCCACAACACATGGGAATTATGGGAACTACAATTCAAGATGAGATTTGAATGAGGACACGGGCAAACCATATCAGTAGTTTTCACCACATCCGTCATGATTGTCTGCCCAGTGTCTTCCCCTGGGGCCACAATTCACCGCTAAGATTTTTTCTTGAATTTGTGTTTCCTCAAGCAACAAAAACTATTACTGACATAGCACATTAGTCCTGATCTGTGCAGAACGGAGGGTTCATGAATTAGGAATTCAGATCCCAAAGGGAATTTGCAGCTGAGGATAGAGCAAGCAAGGCAGGTGGGGGAGGGGAAAGTTGGGAGCCATCTCCCCAGATAAAGTCACCAATTCATGGTTTTGTCTGCTGCTGCCTGGGCATTTTATTTTCCATTTACAATTACTTGTCTGGGGTTTGGCTGCAAGAGAGATCAAATATAAAGAAATAAAATCATAATCCAACAAGCTACCTTACTGGAGATAACCATCGTTAAAATCCTACCATATTGTTTTCAGCCTTTTTTTTTTTTCCTTGTTTACTTCTCTATTTCATTTGTTTGACAACATAAATAAAAATGAATTAATTACTAAAAATCCTTTCTACTCTGGAGAGGTATAGATAAAGGAAGCAAACAAAAGGGCCAAAATTGTGCTACCCAAATAACCCTGCTAACATTTGAAGTATGAATGAAAGTCACACACATGTAAAGTTAGAAGGCAGACCACAAAGGGGGGTCACTGTGAAAGTCACCACCCCGTCAACTCCTCCCCTACCTCTTTCTCCCAAATTAACCACTGTTAACAGATTCCGTGATTCCTTCCAGAAAAAAAAATGCATCCACCTGCATTTGTAGATCTATTTATATACACCCTTTTTTCTTTGTATACCTTCTAGGCATTTTCTATGCATATGTTTTTTTCACATGGCTGATATCATATTGCAAGGGTAGCTGTATCTTGCCTTTTTCACCTGACACTCTGTGATAAACCTTCTGAGATTGTTTTGTAGGAGGAAACTCCATGGCCCTGCCTGCAAGAGGCAGCTCCCTGGGCAATCATGCCTGGCTCTCTGGCAAAAGACTGCCAGGAGGAGGAAGGTTTCAATGCCAGCCTTCCAGCAGATGGAAGAACAGCACATGGCTGCCATTTCTGCAAGCTTATTTTCAGGTCAATCCAGCCAACATTTCTTGAGCACCTACTGTGTATGTGGATGCACAGAGACAATTTGCCTGGCTTATTTCTGTAGCATCTTTCTCTAGGAAGGTGGGGGTAATATTGTGAATAGCCTTGAGAGCATTCACATGTTAGAGTGGAAGAGTCAGGAAACAGCTATACCAAAGGACTGCAGAGTTAATCTGAATACCTCCACCTCCAGTACTGGCTTCAGAGTCTGAAAACATTTTTCTCTTCTCTTCCATGCAGTGCTGCCACTGACAGCAGCAAACATGTCCGGGACAGTGGTGGGGAGAGGCTTGTAGTCAAGTGATGGTTTCAGTGTGGGGCCAGGTAGGGAAAAGGCACAGATAATGGGGAGGCAGTGGAAGGCACCCCTGCAGCTGTTGGGAGTCCCAGGCCAGGGCAGCAGGCACAACATTCATTGAGGCAGCCTCTGGCACTGATGTTGGGCTGCAGAGCCAGGTTCCTGGACCTGAAACCAGAGACACATGCCCAGTGCTGTGGGTCTTTTCATTGCCAGTCTGGGCATGGGGCTTCTGTAAAGCTAGAGTGAGTGTCTCAGGGCTCATCAGAGCCTACAGATGTGGGCAGCAGAGCACAGAAGCTGCACACAGACTTGGGTCAGTTACATCTGGAACTTCTCTTTCTGGAACAGGGGCTTGGCAAGGATGCATAACCATCCTGGGTCTCAGCATCCTCATCTGTGAAATGGGTACAGCAGTACCCTCTTCCTTGGTAGGTTAAAGTACATACACACTCAATAAATGGTAACCAATACTATAGTATACAACATTGTTCAGGCTCTAAGCAGATGGTATTAGTTTCCTAGGACTGCCATAGCAGTATTCCCACTGTGCATATGTTATACCTTTTATAGTTGTTCCACAGTTCTTGGATATTTTATTGTGTTTCCTGAGTCTGTTCTCTTTTGTTTTCAGTTTTGGAGATTTCTGTTGATGTAGCGTCAAGCTCAGAGATTCTTTGTTCAGCCCTATCCAGGCTAACTAATAAGCCCGTCCAAGTCAGTCTTCATTTTTGTTAGTGCTGCTGTTTGCCAGCATTTCCTTTTTGGTTTTTCTCAGGGTTTCCATTTCTGCTTACATTGCCCATCTGTTCTTGCATGCTGCCTACTTTATCCATTAGAACACTTAGCATTAACTCATCCCTTAATTTGCATGTAATTG